GGCTTTAGCAAGGTTTTAAAGAGCGTTACTTTAAACAGTAGAACTGTTTTTTTTTAGAACTAGATTTACTTTTTTTTGTCAGCATTAAAAAAATCAGAATACAGCGGAAGAGACGTGTTACTCGATCACAATTTTTGTAATGAATGACGAGAGGAGACAAAAAACCACGCAATGCGCCTCTTACCAAAGTAAATGGAGTAACATCTAATACATGTGGTAGCATTTAACCATTACCTACTTTAGGCATTTCGCAATAAGATTGTTTTATATAAACATTATTCTGTTTGTTCATATTCTCAAAAGCACCGACCGCGGCGAAGGTGGCTCATATCATAGGAAAAGGTGAAGCACCGGCGATAACATTTGTAAAGAGATGAGAGAAGAAGATGTAGATCTATTTTACTATTATGATTACTCTTTCTGCCGACGCGTTAACAAAGGGTTAATACTACCTCGAGTTACTTCCGACCTTGTGTCATTGTGTGGTACTCACTCGACTCAAGGCCATCCACACTTTCAAATTGACGACGATTTCTTAGATAACTGGAGAAAAATTTAAAAAGATTTGGTGCAACTCCAAATGTAACAAATTTTCGCAAAATAATATTTTTCAGTACTAGATCAAGAGCCTTTCTGAGATCGAAATAGGCGGCATCCACCTGTCGCCCAGCGTCCATTTCTCCACAAATTTAATCAACATGCGCTATTAAGTTTGTATTAGTTGAGCGACCTTTTCCGAATAGGTGTTGCCCTGAATAATTTCCAACACTCAGGATATTGAGGTTGCTTAATGCATTACAAAGAAACAGAAGAGGCTGTTCAAGGTTTGTTATCTAATCTTTTATCAGGAACCCTAGAAAGTAGGTAGTCGTAACCCCTGGCAGATCTCAGCCTGAGAGCCTCGCTGCAGCCTTCAGGTCAGCTTTACCGACTACTGTTAAAGAGACAAGAGTTGTGTGCCTATGTTCGTTGGTCATGTGGCCTCAGCCACATTCAATCTGGGTTCTTCGTCATGAAACACAAAACTAAAATATGAGGCAAAAACATAAGCTTGGCTCATGCTAGGGGTTTATTTATTTCATGAATTTCCTTGACTTCAGTATCTAAAACCTAAACCGAGTGTTTTGTTTTCCTTGTCGTAATGGAAGAAGTAAATTAATTATTATTTATTCGAGGAGCTCGATGCAGGTGGCTAGCGCGTTCGGCTGCGATCGTTGAAGTTAAGCAACTTTCGCAGTGGTCGGTCATTGGATGGGTGACCAAAAATTTACTATCTCGAGCTCCTCCGTGCTTCGGAAGGTAAGTTAAGCCGTTGGTCCCGGCTGCATTTGCAGTCGTTAGCACCCATCAATCCGCACTGGGCCCGCGTGGTGGGTCATGGCCCAATCTCCCTATTCCATCCATAGGGAAGGCCTGTGCCCCAGCAGTGGGGACATTAATAGGCTGATGATGATTATTATTTATTAAATTTTTTTATTAAAAATTAACATAGCTTTTGAATGAAACTTCTTTTTGGACGTTGGAGGGTAACTCAGCGGAGGCTGAAACGCTACGAGCGTCACACACGATAAAACTTATATATATTTATAAACATATACATATATGAATAATGCGTGCGCTGCTCCATTCCCCTATGCTTTATGCACCGCCTAATGTTAGGTTATTTAAGAAAAGAAGTTTCACTTCAGTACCCCTAGCACGAACCAATATCGAATTCGTATAGTTTGCGAGTCCGAAATATCATTGTCAAATGTGTACTGATTTTTAGTTCCCGTTACGTCCAAAGTGGCGCTGCTGTTCAAATTTCCATACAAAATTTGACATTGACATTTCGGTTTGCAAACTATTCGAATTCGATATTGGTTCGTGCTAGGGGTACTGTACTGATTTTAGTTCTCGTTACGTACTTTGTGCCGCTGCTGTTCAAGTTTCCATACATAATTTGACATTGACATTTCGGTTTGCAAACCATTCGAATTTGATAAATGGTTCGTGCTAGGGGTACTGATGTGTGGACCGTGCACACTAATAATCATAATTAAAATAAAATCGTAATCTTTTGATATGTTCTACAACAATACTTTTCATTATTTATTCGTACTGACCCTGGGAATCTACATTACTCGAATATATAAAAAACATCACGGAAGTTGGGTTTTGTTAGCTATTCAATTCTTTCACTAATGTTTTTTTAAGATTTATAAATCTAGCAGTCAAATGCTTTAAAATATAATAACCTATGTTAATTTGATAAAGGTTCTTGAATAAAACCACATTTCTAATAAGTACCTTTATTAGAATGAAAAAGAAGGTATTAAAAACATAAATATATTAGAAGTTCTTCCCGTGTTCGAAGTTTGCTTGTATCTGCGAGTCATGAATGAATTTGGTGTAGGAATTATCTGTGAAAAATAGAAATAACAATTAAAAATAAAACAAACAAAACACCAATTTAAAAAAAATACTCATGAACTACCTCGACTATTTAATTATGAAATACTAACTCTACTGAACAACGTAATAGGGATGATGACAAATTTTTTCTTTGTTTATCAGGTAGATTATCAAAAATTATTGGACACGTATTTTTTCTTTTTTCACATAATATAAACACTGCAGAGATATATTGATTTGAAAAGTCGCATGACGTTACGTTTTGCTACAATTTTCACATAAAAGTGACGTCACGAGCCCCTATTCCCAAACTTTGACGCGCTTTAACTTTGCCATTTTTTGGTTGATTGCCCAAAGAAAAAATACGTGTCCATTATTTTTTGATCATCTAACTGACGGACTAAATAGAATTTCGTTTACTTTACCCCGTCATCATGCCTATTCCAGTCTCAATAAAATGAAGCTTTTTTCATCTTCGTCTGTGATTTATTTATATTTACAATCGGAGAATTTGGGAAATTCTCTCTAGTCGGTCATAGAATGGGTGACCAAAAAATCTTATCTCTAGGTCCTCTGTGTTTCGGGAGACACTTTAGGCCCACCAATCCACATTGGACCGGCATGCTGAGTCATGGCCCAGTTCCGAAGGCCTGTATCCCCGCAGTGGGGGCATTAATAGGATTATGATGAGTCACTGATACAGTATATTAAGTGCATGGTGAGTGATGCCAGAGTCAGGAGTGATTTTCAAAAACCTACCTCCTTCAATTTTTCCTAGCAAAATATCTTCAGACGGCGCATCTCGAGTGTCAGTTCTGAAGTTAGCTGGCTGTACCTAAAAAGAGAAGGTATTTTTTAGATCATTTCATACAGATATTTCTTCCGTAATGCCAAACAAAGTTCAAATTACATTCTTTTTACTAATGCCCCACCCTCTTTTTGTTGCCATGCTTGTACTATAATTAATGAAATTTAAATTAATGTAAGGTGGCTGGATATCGGAAGGCAATTATCAATATTTAACATATACATTATCAGCGATTTTACTATTCTGAAGGAACACATAATTAATATCATTTCTATAAAATCAATAAACAGAAACGATTTTTTTTGCTCCACGGTTACGTGACCGTAAACGCTTGGGATAGGCCAAGCCTAGAATGAAGTCACACGCTAGTATACTTCTGGCCAAGGTGGATAAATAAAAACATTACGATACATGTATCGTTTGACAATTACGTTTTTTTTAATAAGTGTTTTTGTAAGTTACAAAAAACAGAATTAAAAATACCCACTTTTTATGGACTTCATAATTTGTAAATAACCTGAGGTCGTTTTCTAAAACTTGTCAAATGCGCTATTGTATTATATTTGTACTAGCAAACCAGTGAACCAAATGTTCACCAAAACCTGATTTAAAAATGTATTTAATTAATTGAGAACTTCGGAGATTTTGTGTGGTTTCGTTTGAAATTATTTAGTTAAAAAAAATTAACCTTTAAATAGTTAATTAAAATTGTGATAATTACAAAATAGAAATCACGTGATTTCTCGAAAACCGGAAGTGCTACGTTACTCAAATCCGATTTGTAGTCTTATCAGACTATTCTTAACTTATAACTTAAATATTCTCTTTATCTATCTCTTACGGTTTGGCCGCTGAAACAGCACCACAGACAGACGGACGGACTTGTCTAATAGATAAGAGATAGGACAGCGATAATTATATACAGGGAATAAGCAGAGTCGTGTTGTCCTTCGTAGCCTGCCGCCCTGTTTTAAAGTAGGGTAGTAAGTTAATATACAGTGGTGGTCACATAATTAAAGACACTATCCCTAATTGACCACAAAAACTTGCTTATGGTACTAAAATTACCTAAAATTGGTATTTAATCTAGTGTAATTGTTATTAAACTATACACGACGTTGTATTCTTACAATTAGTACAGTCAATCTGTAGGTTGAGTGGTGAAAAAAAAACCTAAAGGGTAAGTCTTGTTTTTTCTGTTGCCAAATGACGTCAGTAAGCCACCTTGGCGATGGGCATGTTCAACTCGTAGGCTTTTTTTGAAAATCTCAAAAAAACCGTCAAAAGTTTTTTGAAACGCATTTTTCTTGTTTTGTATGCATTTTAGAAACTTTTTTTTCAACCATAATTGTAGAGGGCGTTGAGTGCTACGAAAAAATAAATAAATAATCAAAATATTCAATTAAAATCGCTACTGAATATAATTTATTAGAACATATGTGATTTGCACTTGTATGAAACTCAAACACGTATTCCGAATATACAAACTAGAAACATGTGGATAAATATTATAAATATGAATACCTGTAGTAGTAGTGTATTTACAAATAAAAAATAACTAAAACCTAAATTATTTAAAATATACTAAGGGAGACGCTTAACCAAAGAGCAAGTTCGAAGTCTCATTCGAAGTATTCCAAGAAACCTAAAAATGCACTATTCTATCATCACTTGATTACTCTGTTATTTTATGGCAAAGTTAAAGGAAAAATATTGGCTGTATGGACTTAGTTTCATTTGCCTTTATAAAAGGAGAATAATTAAAAAGGAATATTTTCTCTTCGCTGCGTTTGTTATCTGTGCTACGACTGACATTTTTCTTTGTGCAATTTCTGTTGGGTCGCTCGTGAAATATCCCGTTATTTCCCTTTCGTAATTCTTCTAACAAAGGCATTATCTATTTGTGACGGTCCGCCGTGGTTAGTAGAGCAAGAGTTAAAAATCCGCAAGCGCTAGGTTCAGTGACACTGCCACGAAAGAATTTATTTTGATCATTTCTAATATCGATTTTAGACATCGTGTGAAAAATATATGTATTAATGAAGTTAATTTATTAGTGAGAACGGGTGGTTGGCGAACAAGCAGCAAGATTTTTGTGTCACGGTACAAACCAAGGTGCGTATTGTCAATTTTTGTGTGTCGCGGAGAGAGTACTGCTTGGCGAGAAGGTGCCTCTTTGTGACGTAAATACTTCGATATTTCTGCATCTTACTGCTCGATGGTCCGTTTTCGTACGATATCTATCAAAAGCTCACTTCCCAGCATCTATTTTTAACATGTTTTAATTATTTACGTGACTTGCTTCATAGTGCAATCAGTTGAATTTGATAAAGCTGTCACTCATCAACATAAATCACATCGTAAGTAATTACTGTTCAATGAAGGATGCTAATGCATATTAACAGACCTAAGTCTGTTTTTAATTCTCAATCACTCAATTGCTGAATGATGATCATTAAATTTAAGAATGAAAATGGTCTTATTCACTCTGATTTTGTTAAATTATCCAGGGATTCCCCACTTGGTAGCTAAACGAAAAAGGTTATGCTTTTCATAATTTTTTCAGTTTTGATCTATTGTATGAACCATGAGTGAAAAATATGGTACCTTTTTGTGTTCATGGTGATGTACAACAGATATGCTTAAAGGTTCTTTAACTATTTCATACTTATCAAAAACAAAAGAAATGGAAGCACAATTTTTCTTTCCTAAGTTGTTAATGTTAACTATTATAATCCAGACAATGTTTATTTTGGCATTTGGAATTATATAATCTGCTATATCTTTCATGTTTCCTTTGAATCCTATATTCCTTATGTTGATTATAAGGCAGCTGAATGGTTTCATAGTAAAAAACCTGGTGACCTGTAGGACAGGTTTCTATTGCTGAAACTTATTTCATATAATTGCAGAAGAAGACAAACTATGAATCTCTGTTGTGACGGAAAATAAATATATTTCGATTTTGTATTCAATAAGATATTAAAAAAAAACATATAGCATATAAAACATAATATCATTGACTACTATTTAAACTAATACTAGGTTTTCCATATGCTATAGTAAAGTATAGAGAGAAATAATAATTATACACTTCATAACATTAAAAAAGGCTTCTTGAATAGTGTATTGCATCTTTTCAAAAAGTATCTTACAAACAAGTAACAATCATAATTATTTCCATATTATTCCTGCTTTTGTTATGATATAAACTATAAACTAAAAACTACGAATATATAGGTAAATAAATAAAAGTATAAAAAAAGTATTGAAAGTACAGAAAATTACATATTTTTAGTTTTGATACTGAGTACTAGTAAACAGTTTTTTTTATCTTGTACATATTAATTGATTTTAACAAAATTTCACTATCATTTGTTTACAAATCATTTACATTTGACATAAATTATTCAGTCAATAAAGTTATTCATTTAGATGATTATTATTTTCACAATAAGCATTATGACACTATAGTTTGCGGAATATGTTTATTCAAAATACATAACATTGCATACCATTTTTATTGTTAACATACTTCTGTACCTATGTCTTGTTGTATTGTTAAAAATTTGTTATAATTAGTAATTTATAATTGGATGGTAGAATGTGTTGACTGTTTAGCACATCTTCACAGTTTAAGTATATTGTATTCTATAAATTGCATTCATTGTGTAATAAAATGAATTCATTGTGCAATTGATGGGACTCAAAATTCATATGAAATATGTATGCTTTGTAAAGTATATTTTAATATTTTTCCAATATTTCATCCCACTGCTTATAAATGGCTAAAATGGGTTTTGAATTGGTTAGCAATCGCTTCTTGTAGCTTAATATGTTAATATATATTTTTATTTATGCTTTTAAATAATTTTAGTAATAACATATAAAGCTATTTAGAATGTGTTCTCAATAACACTATTTAATCTTTATGCTAGTTTTTCTAATTGTTATATGCAATACTCTTTCTACAACCTGTTATTAACAACTTATAATGACGACCTACGTGGCCGAGTGGTTTGTACGCCGGGTTTCATGGCTGTCGCCGACTCGAGAGGTCCCGGGTTCGAATCCCGGTGGGGGCAGATGTTTGTGTGATGAATACGAGCATTTGTACTCCAGTCATGGATGTTTAATATGTATTTATATAAATGTACTTATATATGTACAGTATATGTATTCTAATTATCATATCGCCATAAAATAACATTGTAGTTAACTGCTTTTTTATTCATAAAGTTATCATGCATGTGATAATCAGTGGAGCAAAACAAATCGAGAAGCCATCCCTAAAATAAGCTCACAAGATAATGTACCTAGTGATTCTTTCACTCAAGTAATCCTTTTCGAAGATAAAAAAACGGGCATGTGCTATTCATATGCGATAGAAGTGAAACCTTCACAAATGTGTACATGTAAAAGTCCTTCAGCCACCCGCGGCTTTATTTCTTACCAGCTCTTTTCATTTGATTTCTTTTATTATGTGTTTCTTATCTTCGGTTGTTTTTTTTGAAATATTTATTTATAAAAAATTACACAACACAAGCCTTATAGTGCTTACTTTGGGGCTAGGCTAATTGGTGTGAGTGTTGGAAATATTTATTTATTTATTATTTATAATGTGTGTTACTTAAGTTTATTGATATCTTAACATTTTCGCTTATAGAGTGAGCCGTGTCTTGGGGGAAAAGCACCCCGGGCACTACGGTGGCCCCAGATACACCGGCGCCAGCGCCCCAGCCTCCGGGTATGTCATAATTTAGCAATGTATTTACTACTTTACAATAGGACTTTCTCGTTCCCGAAATTAATTAATAAATTAGAGATCTTTAGGGCCTAATTTCTTTTTCTTCTATGTCTATGTGTACCGTGTGGGTGTAGGCGACCTTTACTTTCTGCTATTGTTCTCAGTTTTTGGTTTTTTCTATCTATTTCATTCCAGCTGTTTTTTTGATGTCGTCGTACCAGTGAATATTTGGTCTTCCTCGAATGCTTTTCACACTCCACATCCATGTTGTGTCCATTTTATTAGTGCTTTACACCACGTATATCATCTCTTAGCTGTATGATCAACCCATTTCCATTTGAGTTTTGTGATTCGCTTGGTAATATCTGTGACCTTACTCTTCTCTCGCACCCAATCGTTCCTTTTTCAGTCTCTCAGTATGAGGTCACACTGAGAGACCAGTTACTAGATTTCTTTCAATTGCTCTCTGAGTTAAAATAAGCTTTCCGATAATTACTTTGTGAAAAAATGGTTTTCTGATAGTATATATGCTAAAAATTGAGAAGTTCATAAACAAAAAATGCTGTTTTAACATTTAATTATAACCTTGATATGTTGTAGGTAGTTATGTGTATTTAATGTATCAGGTTAGTGGGACAATCAATATGAGGAAAAGTCTAACTTATAATTTGCAAATTGGCGAAGTATATACAATTACCTATATATACAATTTTCTTTAGGTAATATTTTCATTTTCTACTTGTATACTTATTTATTAATGTAATGTGTTAACTCAACTCATTTATTTATCTGAACATGGTCAGTTATTTTTATTTATAGGTAGCATTCTGATTACCAATGTGTTTGTTTTTGATAAGTAGATGAATAATTATGTCAAACCGTTTTGTATAGATTTACGAAAATTTCCAAAGATATATGGTTTTTGTGGTATTATAAGCATTCTCAGGCGTCAACTATCTATTACCTATTTTCTCCTATTAACATAATTATTCTTAACTAGTGGCTCGCCCTCGCTTCGCTTCGGTGTAGAGCTGTAGTGTAAACTATAGTTTTTGTTCTCAGGCTTGTGCTATGAAGAATGACTTTATTTATATAATTACACGTGTCATTGTGAGTCAACCATAAAAGAAAGACATATGCTGTTGCGGGATATTTTTTAGACAATTTTATGTAGAATATTTCCGTCATACATGATTTCTATGTAACTTTAACCATTAAGGCTGCACCCGCGACGGAAGCTTAAAAAATGGAGTAACTTATCCCGTTTTCCCAACATTTCCCTTCACTACTCTGCTGCTATTGATTGTAGCGTGATGAAAAGTATACTATAACCTGCCCAGGAGTATGAAGAATAATTGTACCAAGTTTCGTTAAAATCCGTTAAGTAGTTTTTGTTTCTATAAGGAACATACACACAGACAGACAGACTGACAAAAAATTTACTGATTGCATTTTTGGCATCAGTATCGATCACTAATCACCCCTGATAGTTATTTTGAAAATATATTTCATGTACAGAATTGACCTCTCTACAGATTTATTATAAGTATAGATAAGTAGCAAAACTTGATTCATAGTAGTACTTACTTCATTTTAATATAATTGTGAAAACCATCCATGTACAACTCAGACTTGCCTACAGAGCATTCCGTACTATATATATCGTATTCTCTTTTTGATACTGGACCTTGTAATTCTGTATATTTAACTTAGCACAGTAAAGCATTTTCATTGTTAAGGTCTAGCAAACGACCAAAAATCACGTTTGTTTGTTGGCTGCCTTTGTTTCACTGACATTGTACATATATGCAGTAGAAACGGAAACAAACCTTATGTTGCGATACTGGCTATAGCAATAATCTCCGAAAATTCAACTCGCTGTTGTGGTTCATGAGATGCATACATCATGCCAACAGACAAACAAACTGATAGCGGAGTTTAACTGATAACTTATTTTATTATGATTTATGAGCTTAGATCTAAGCTTATGAGGTATTGGGTAACAGATAGAAATATATATAATGCCACGTAGAAAAGTTCATTTTAGTAGAAATAACATAAACACCCATTACTCGAGTAGAAATGGTTGTTTTTATCACACAAACATTAGCCCCTACCTAGGACCTCTCAAAAGGCGATACCTGGAAAACCAGTGACATTTCTATTACGGAGCTCGTTACAAAGGTTCGTATGTAGTCAATCCTAATATAAGCCAACGCAGTAGGCACGTTCTGTTTCCCACCCACGACAACGGCTAACTAGAGCCGAGGTCCGAGTCTCAGAGACGCCCTTTAGATGAGCCGACCCCTAAGGTTCGAGTGATCTAGAGGCTCCAGACGGAGAGGAGACTCCCCCTGTGGGGAGATGCCATCCGCCTGGAATCCCACTAGAGGCACTCGCCAATTCTCGGCTTGAGGTCCCATTAGGATCTCGCCGGCTACAAACCCGGTGAAGCTGTGAAGGTCATATGCGACCAACAGCATACACACTCAAAAAAAAACGTTCTGTTTGTCTATGTTATAATGGTAACACGTTAGATATACACTTTATGGTCTGATAAGTCCACGCACGAAACTGACTCTAATCACAGTGTCAACAAGTAAGTGCTATGTCGTGTCCTTTATACGTACTCTTAACACCATGATCTCTATGTTGTGGACCACGTGTTTAATGACAGTGTGTTTATTATTCACTAGCTTATAGAATGGTTAACATAATAACAACATTCAAATATGCGTCGTTAGATTACACGTTGTTACAGAATGTGTTGAAGAAATAAAGGTTCACTGCTCGTTCCCCGTAGGTGATAGTGTGATAATATGTAGCCTATATGTCGACCCGACTTCTTAATAATATTCGTGCCAAATTTGAAGTAAATCCATGCAGTACTTTTTGAGTTTATCCCGGACATACATACAGCAAACAGACAAAAATTCTAAACACTATATTTTATAAAATGACGGGTTGCACCCCGGAAGTGCTGGCAGAAGTGAAAACTTGAATATTAACGTTGTGCATTTTTGATATTTTGGAATGGTTAGGAAATAATTTTGCACGAATTGCTTTAAATATCAGTATAAAAGTACTGTCATGTATGTGGTAGAATACAATATTTATTTATTGCGCTATCGTACACAAACATGACAATTTATATTACATTAAAAAAATTATCTCTCAGAAAAATCAACTTACATGAATCACGTTTAAGCACACCTAGCGAAATCTATTGTAAAAAAAAATGCATTTTCTTCGCAATTAAGCTGCCACGTGGACGTCCCGGATATGTTTTGTCCAATATATTGAAAGTCAACAACCTTTCCAATTTTATTGTGTGTAATGATGCGATCAGCCCACGTGTTTAACCTGAGGAGTGTTTAATATTTTTTACCCATACAAAAAAAAATGTGCATCGCCGCTAAAGAAGTTTTCAAAATATTCAATGTACAGTTTTGACTTTCCTACCATTTAATTATATGTATAGATAACGAGCGGCCGCCCACGACCTCGTCCGCGCCATATTTTTTTTTTTGTGAATCCCACAGGAACCTAATATCTTTATAACAATATATCCAGGTCATAAACTATATGCGTTTTAAATTTTATTGAAATCAGTTCAGTAGTTTTTGCGTGATTGAGTATCAGTCGTACAAATGCAAACATACAAACTTTCACATTTATTATATTATTAGGATACCTGTACCCTTAGCACGAACCATTATCGAATTCGAATAGTTTGCGTGTCCGAAATGTCATTGTCAAATTTTGTATGGAAACTTGAACAGCAACACCATAACGTACATAACGAGAACTAAAAATCTGTACACATTTGACAATGACATTTCGTATTCGCAAACGATACGAATTCGATATTGGTTCTTGCTAAGGGTACCGGTGTGTGAACAATGGCAATTCAAATCGGGTCATTACGAATATTGTCACGTGTTTGTCTGTTTGTCGTGCGAATAGAAAGTTTGATATCTTGACATGTAACTTAATTGCCCCCCACGACAACGGCTAACTAGAGCCGAGGTCCGAGTCTCAGAGACGCCCTCTAGTTGGGCCGACCCCCTCAGGTCCGAGTGGTCTAGAGGGTCCATACAGAGAGGAGACTCCCCCCGTGGGAGACGCCATCCGCCTGGAATACCTTTAGAGGTACTCGCCAATTCTCGGCTTGAGGTCCCCTTAGGATCTCGCTGTCCCCAAACCCGGTGACGCTGAAAAGGTCATCTGCGACCAACAGCATACACACTCAAAAAAATGTAACTTAATTTTATTTTCGATTTTTAGGTCGAGGTAACTGTAAATGAACGGTGTCGATTACACCCATATTCGGGTAGATTTCCCTTTGTTTAGCCGACACCGTCTTCCAGCCCGTATTACAGTGTAAATATTGCTTCGGGTGCCCAAATTCAAGTAATGTCTTTCGTTCAGCCGAATACGAAATGTAATTGCGGAATTATAGACATCAAAGGTGCATGACAGTAAACTATCAAATACAATACCTATATCCTATTTTAAAAAGGATTTTTTTAAATTTTTATTACACTCCCAACAAACAAAATTTCATCCCCATCATCTTGATGCGTGGCTATCCACAACCGTGCGTTTTTGTCGATTTTTTTTTACCACGTACGACAAAACTGTGGAATATATTGTGGCCAGCAGTGTTGCCGGACCAATACGACCCAAAAATCTTCAAAAAAAGAGCGTACTCCTTCCTTAAAGGCCGGCATCGCATTTGTGATACTCCTGGTGGTGCAAGTGTCCATGGGCGACGGTGATCACTTACCATCAGGTGAGCCGTCTGCTCGTATGCCCCCTATAACATAAAAAAAAGTGGTATTCATAATGAATGACCAGACATTGCTTGATAATGCAATTTTTATAGCTATTTATCAAATGGCCTGATGTAAGTTGTCGTTGTATTATAGATACTGGGAATTATAAATGCTGCCATTAATGACTTAATTTTTTATTTGTATCAATACCAGCTAAATAAA